GAGGGGATGGACGAGGGATTTAACGCGCACCTTCAGCATGTAACAGTAAGCCTCACTGCCGTTTAAAAACTTAAAACTCCACACTTTTAATTTAGATTTTAAAAGCGCCCTTCAGGAGCAAAACGTCTTCAACCAACAGAAAAGAGCTCAACTTGTCTCATGTTTTTAAACTCTTAACTGACTCAAAGCTAGAACAACAGTCCTGTGCTGATTCTGACACAAATTTACTTAAACTGATTTTTTTTTTTACACAAATACAACAAAACTTAACATTTTCAATGAAATACAAGCAAAATGTTAAAAAATAATAATAAAACAAGAACCTTAATGATGTTTTAAAATCAATTTAGGTGCTCTACATTTGGAAAATTTAGATATTTACAGTTCAGCCGCGAGTGTTAAAACACCTCAAATGTTTTTATAACTTTGCTTCCGAAAGGACAGATTTTCTTGTAATCTTCTAACATCATCTTGATCAGTAACTCTCCTGACTTTCTGAAGGTCTGACAGAAAGTCAGGAGATATTCAAATGTTTTTCCTGAATTAAACCTCAGTTCATAACTTAAATAAAAATTTAACTTTTTTCAATTTTTATTTATTTATTTTTGCATTCAGTAGGTATGTCAGTTAGCAGGAAATATCTTCCCATGTTTGTGGAGGTTCAGCAGTAAATAGAACTGTTACTCCTGTGGCCCAACACTGCCACCATGTGGTGAGGTTTGTTACTACATATAAAATGTTTTCTATACCACACCATAAACAGCAGCAAGTGGTTGTACAGCAGAACAAAACAAGCAAAGGACACGGGATAAAATACATAGATCCACAAGAACTAAATGACTAACATTATAGAATACAGACAAGTCAAGTTAAGTTGTTGTATGGCAGCACAGTGGTGCTCGAGCTGCTGCCTCTCAGTGAGCAGGCCTCCTCCTCGGTTCAAATCCTGGCCGGGGGCCTTTCTGGGTGGAGTTTGCATGTTCTCTCCGTGCTGCGTTGGTTTTCTCTGGGTGCTCTGGTTTCCTCCCACAGACCAAAACATGCATGTTAGTCTGATTGGTAACTCTAAATTGTCCCGAGGTGTGAGAGTATGTCCCCCACCTCTCGCACAGTGACTGCTGGATATGGGCACCAGCGACCCCCGCGACCTGAAAATCAAGAAGCGGGTAAAGATGATGGATGGAAGTTGTTATATGCAGTAAGAAAGGATGGCACAGATGTTTTGCTCATGTTTTTGCCACCAAAACATCATGAACTACTGGAGGAACCACCATTTATTAAAACATGTATAAAGTAAGATATGACAGTTAATGATATCATGAGATTGTGCTTAATGTTACTGTCCATTTAAAGAATGCCACACTTTTTTATTTTATTTACTTTTTCCACAAGACCAAACATCTTTAGAAACCATCCCCAACGTTTATAATACAGCCAGATGTTCACTCCAAACTGGTTTTGAAGGACTTGTTTTGGCTGGAACTCACTACCAAAATGAACCTAGACAAACAATGTTTTTGTTTGTTTGTTTGTTTGTTTTATACATAAGAAGCAATTATTGCAAGCAACACTGGAAAGGTTGTAAAAAGTCAAACAACTATAAATAAAACTTTAAGATAAGCTGACCTCAAAGCAGATCTTCACAGAAAACTGTTTGTAGCATACACCCCCCACCCACACACACACACACACACACACACACACACACAAATGTAAATAAATAAGTAAAACCATATGAACTTCTGTTTCGAAGCTGCAGTTTCACTTCTCATCCAGGAATCTTTATCGATTCCAAAATATGTGAAGATCCAAGCTTTGAAGAACGGCATGAGAGGCCCGGTTACAGATCCAGCTGCAGGTTAGACTGGAACTACTCGCTCTGCACAACGGAGGCTCGGCAGGCCCTTTGTCTGCCTGGCTCATGAGACATGGTCACATCGTGCATGAAGGGGAGAACTGGAGTGAAACTGACCTGGAATCAGCCCTAATGCTGCATTTTCACTTTTTATAAGTTGTAATCTGAGACCTCATCCTGTGTTTAAAGCAGTTCTTTCTCCCTCCTCTTCACCTCCCTGTCTTCTCTGTCCAAGACATGACCAGTTTGGTCCTCAGCAGTGTCCCTTATCCTTGAGGTTCTCTGGTGTTGAGCCACGCATTGTTTCTCCAATATGGAGGTCTGAACATTCCTCCCTGCTCTGAACTGCAGAATCCACACCGCTCAGTCTGGGAGTTCTGGGATGAACCGGCCTCTGTCTGAGGGTCCTGCTGGTTTTAAAATGTACCGGGACGTTGTGTTTGGAGAAAATCCTTCGGAGTTTTTCAGATACTCCAGCAACAAATGAGATGTCAATGTTTTAGTGTCTTCTCTATGGAAGCCCATTTCCACCATTTAAAAGAAATATGTCATAATTTCTAGTTTGAAAATCAAATTTTCAACTTTCAAAGTAAGAATTTCAACTTTTCAAGGCAAATCAATTTTCTCGCTATATCTCGGTACAATGATAATTCTGATGCTGAAAATGTCGACTTTCAAAGTCAAAATTTTGACTTTTAGTCAAAATTTCAAGATTCAAAATTAAAATTTCAACTTTCAAAGTCAAAATTTGGACTTTCAGTCAAAATTTCAAGATTCAAAATTAAAATTTCAACTTTCAAAGTCAAAATTTTGACTTTCAGACAAAATTTCAACATTCAAAATATAAAATTTCAACTTCCAAAGTCAAAATTTCGACTTTCAAAGTCAAAATTTCAACTTTCAGTAAAAATTTCAACATTCAAAATTAAAATTTCAACTTTCAAAGCCAAAATTTGGACTTTCAGTCAAAATTTCAAGATTCAAAATTAAAATTTCAACTTTCAAAGTCAAAATTTTGACTTTCAGACAAAATTTCAA